TCCCTCTGGCTGGGAGGATCGCCCCCACATCCTGGAAAGGCCTTGTTGACAGACGCCTGTTGTGGTACCTGCTCCCCCAGCAGCCCTCCAGTCTAACCCCAGGGATCAAGTTATGCTGACATCTCGGAACAAGGGAGCTGGGAAGTTAAGGCCCCAGCTGTGAGTGGCCTCTGCCACAAATTGCCCCTTAGTCACTCATTTTTTCCTTTCTGCTTTTTTATTTACTTATTTATTTTATTTTTTAAAAATGTGCCAGAGGGCACGTGCACCTGCCGGAGTGAGATGGAAAGCAAGAAAGCACTCCCCCTGGGGGATGAGCATGCTGCCATCCTTTCTGCATTTCTCCCTCAGTTCAGGATTTGGGGCATGCATGCACATGCGCCTGGCGTGTTTTCCAAGCCAGTCGACCACATGGGATCCAGCCACCCTAACCACCACGCCGCTGGCTGGCGTGTTTTATTCCTTTCATGGTGACAGATGTACCTGTTGGCAGTGTGTGCCTGTGTATCTGTGCCAACTCTAGAGCCCCGGGGAGCACAACAATTGAAAGCAAGAACGGAGCCATTGGTTCATCAGAGAAACGACAGTCACAACAGCAGCTGTCCAAGAAGCAAGTTTCCCCCTCGCTTTCCTTTTCTTTATCTGGCTCTCTGCCTTCCTGTGTCAGATCTAAAATGTTATCTGAAAAGTAGCTGTTATCCCTTCTTTCTGTATTCCAAGTAAGATGAGTCTAAACTCGCATGTCTCTCTGCGTAATGTTTCTGTGTTGCCTCCAACTTGAAACTTAAATCCCTACAGGGCAAGATGACAATTACATTAAAATGTTTAGTGTCCTGAATATTATATAAAACTATTATTTAGGATTCTGCTTGGTCTTGTGCCTCTCTTACCCTCATTCATTTTTCTGTAATAAGATGTTACAGGGATCCAGGAATCACCCAATAACTTCATCTACTCAAAATACAACCTCAAAGTAGGATGTGGGGCTCAAAACCTTTCTGAGTAATCCAATTACATGTTATGAAAACCATGTCCTAAAGGTGTCAGTAGTTCCTTACAGCAAAAAAATGAAAAGGAAAAGACAAAAAGGCCTTTAATGAAATTAAGCAGATACTACTAGCAAAAGTTCTTAATAAAAATAGAGACTTAGGGGGCCAGCAGTTGGCTTGGTGGTTAAAGCACTGGACTCCCACATAGCTGACCGCAGATCTAGTGCCAGACTGAGAGGCTTGAAACTCATGTCGGACTGTGTGTGTGTGTGTGTGTGTGTGCGCGCACGCGCACGCGTGTGTCCAAAACCCTGAGAGGAGAATGGAGAATGGACTTCAGCATGGACATCCCCTGTGGGGGTTGATTTCTCACTTTCCCTCTCACTGTCTTTTTCTGTCTCTCTGGCGAATGCATGCACCCTGTAGCAAAACATCTTTAAAATATATATATTTAAAAAAAAAACTCTATTGACTTTTTAAAAAAGTCACTAAGCATGAAGAAGACAGTTGAGAAGAAGACAATAGCAAACATATCCAATAAAATTAGGAATAAGATAGAAATTCCCACTTTTACCTCTATATGTCAACATTAATTCAGTTTCAAAGTAATACAATAATTTAAGAAAATGAAATAATCATTATAATATTAAAAAGAAAACACAACTTTTCTATATTTGTAGATGATATAATTATATAAATAAATAACTCTAGTGTGGGCAAAAATAACATTAAAATTAATTAAAAATGTGGCTGATGACTAAATTTAAAAGTGAATACTCAAAAGCAGTCTTTCTTTTTCAGAAATACCCAATTAGAAACTGGAATGTGATTTTTTTTTTATTACAAAAGACTTAGAAATAAATTTAAGAAAGTACAGGGTCTATGTGAGAGAAAATAAACCATAATCAATATCTTATTAAAACTCAGAACATTAGACTGGAATTTTAGGAAGAAAAGAAAGATTGAACGAATTCTTATTTCACGGACATCACTAAAAAATAATGATAGCTAATATCTACCTAGCTCATCGATAACGTACAAACTGATAACACCAAGTATTTATCCCGATCACAGAAATCACTTAACTGTACTCATGGCTACTATTTGTAAGTTCCAGGACTGTGCAACCTGCTTTAATATACCAACCTCTTTAATCCTATGCCAGCCCTAGAGGAACGTGACATTGTTAAGTGAACATTACAGATGAAGATGTTTCCAAGGACACACACGGCCTAAGCTCGGGTTCCCAAATCTTTGTTTTTAATCATTATCATCTTTGCATTTAACCCTCGGCCTCTCAAGCCTCTTTTCTCTAATTCTACACTCACATCCAATGAGCTTGGTTATCTAGCTTTCCATGGCATGACAGATTAAGGAGCAAATTAGAAAAACTAGGGCGAGCCAAGCGCTCCGAGGCCACAGTTTACTATCTAACACAGACATGGCAAACAGTGGGTGTCAAAAGCATGTGGCCACCACGGCTCCTGTTTCATACAGAATCAGATTATTCTCTAAGTTCTAGGGGTTCTTCCTCTGTCACTATCGCCTGATATAATGACTAATATTCTTAATAGAACAGAGGAAGGTGACTTGATACTTTTGCAAAGTGCCTAAGTAACATATCACTTTAAATTAACCTTGAAACACTTAACAGAAAAATGGCATCCTAAGAGTCAACTTTTTTGAATGAGAGGTTCCCCATGGGTTCTGAGTAATTGATCATTATGGCCTTTTTAATGCTTTCTTTTATCTTCAACTCATTGTTGCTGTCTCTGACTCAGTTCCCATACACTGGTCTAGGATAGAATTTGCAAACACACCAACACTTTATAGAAGTTTCTGGAATATTATGGGACAGTCGTATGGTATTAAAGATGCTCCCCGGAGCCTCCAGGCTTCCTTTTCACACACTTTCAATCCGTCGGAGAAATGCAAGTATGTCCCTTACCGTTCCCCTGTGTACCCAGGGCTGCAGTGACACTGGCCTGTAGCAGCATCGCAGGTCCCTCCGTTATGGCACTGACATTCCTGAGAGCAGTTCTTGCCAAAGCGACCTTCAGGGCAAGGCTGACCACACACTGTGCCCTGCATTCAAAGAGACAGAAAATGAGATGGGCCTCCAGCCAGAGGAGGACGGGAGGACCAAGAAGGAAAGAGGGGAAAAAGAAAGTGAAGGGGAGCAAAGGGACCAGGACGGGGAAAAGGAGGTTAAACGGAGTGTTGGGACACAGAAACGGGTGATCATCTTAGGAATGTTAAAAATTGAAATGGAGGGGCCAGCAGTTAGCGTAATGGCTATGTCGCTGAACTCCCATGTAGCCGACCACGCTTCGAGTCCCAGACCCAGTGGCTTGGACTCACACTGGGTGCGTGTGTGTGTGTGTGTGCCCAAGATCCTGAGAAGGGATTGCGGCATGGTCATCCCCCCTGGGGGGTGATTTCTCGCTTTCTGTCTCTCCAGGTCTCTCTGTCTTTCTGGTGAGCACACGCACCCTATGGCAAAAACCTCTCAAAAAAAATTAAAAAATTGAAATGGACTTGTGTACAGGGTAAGCCCAAGTTTCAAGATACGTTAAAAGGCAGAAGAGTAATACGGAAAAAATCCATATTAGAAACCGAAGCCTTTGACAAAGTTATTTCACGTTAGTACAACCATCGAAGGAATGTATGAATCCTGGGTTCTTCCTTGTATCTTACCTACACGGTAAGTCAACAACACGTACTGGGCATTTGTTTCGTAAACGGCAACATCTGGCCCACCGGGATAGCCAAATGGTTTGCCATATGTCCTAGAGAAATCACCTTATCACGGCCTTTATTTCTTAAAATGTAGCATAACATAAGGTTGGAATTTTGTGTACCTGAGTTAAAAATAACATTGTACAGGAGTGAACCTAGACAGTTATCTCCGAAGAAAAGCACTTTTATTTTCTGCAGGCTCAACAAGCGTTGCTGAGCCAAGATCAATAGGAAAGCTTACTTCTTGGGGAGGAAAATCAAGAGAGCAACTTGGACGTTTCTCCTCACCCTAGAGGCTGTCCGTCTTGTCAGCCACTGTCATTATATTTGTTCAGGCGCTATGTGGACGAGAACAAGATACTGTACCAAATCAATGAAATACTCTACCATTTTCCACTTCACTTGGCTACCTAATGGAGACTTGTAGCTTCGAATCTATTTATTGGGGTTATAATTAGAGCAAACACCTATCCCGAATAACAGGGATTTGTTTTTCCTGATGTGTTCAACTGTTGGAAGCTGTTGCTGCATCCTCCCGCTCTCTGAAAAAAGGCAGACTGTGGGCACTCTGAAATTGGAGGCTAGTGAACACCAGATGGTTTTGTAAATGTTTATTCTGGATAGCATAAGAAAATATATTTCCTCTAACTCCTGGCTACCCACAAAGGCAGTTGGTGTGCTAATTACATCTCCTCTGGTGGTTTCTAGCTATCTACAAACAGGGGAAGTTCTTCCACAGACACTTGGAACAGAAAAGACCTTTGAGAGATGATTCAAATCAGTGCTTAACTGAGCACCACCTGGGTGCCAGGCAGAGTGTTAAGCTCTGAGAAATCAGGACCAGCAGTTGGCGTAATGGCTACCTTGCTGGACTCCCATGTAGTTGATCATGTTTTTTTTTTTTTTTTTTTTTTTGAGAGGTTTTTTGCTATAGGGCACATGTGCTCACCAGACAGACAGAGACGGAGAGACAGAAAGTGAGAAATCACCCCCCAGAGGGGATGGCCATGCCGCAACCCCTTCTCCTCCATTCTCCTCTCGGGATCTTGGGCACGCACGCACGCACACGCACCCATTGTGAGTTTAAGCCACCAGGTCCGGGACTCGAACCGCAGTCGACTACGTGGGAGTCCAGCGACATAGCCATTATGCTAACTGCTGGTCCCTTGATCACGGTTTGAATCCTGGACCCAGTGGCTTGAACTTGTGCTAGGTGTGTGCATGTGCATACATGCCCAAGATCCAGAGAGGAGAATCAAGGAGAAGGGATTGCGGCCTGGCCATCCCCTCGGGGAGTGATTTCTCACTTTCTGTCTCTCTCTCTCTGTCTTTCTGGCGAGCGCACAGGGCCTATAGCAAAACCCTCTCCGAAAAATAAATAAATAAATAAAATAAACTTTTTAAAAAGCTCTGAGAATCAAAGTTAAGGTCACAAGCCTTAGGTAGCTCCCAGTGTGGTGGGGGTGACAGATGAAGCAATAGCTCCAGCCCCTCCAGTCTAGCACACTGTAGCAATACAAAACCCATCAAGGAGCAGCATGCAGGTCCGTCTGTGGTAGGTGGGGTCCTGGTGCAAATTCTCACTCTCAGGCCTCGACTCTTAACTATCTTTAACAGCCCCACATAAGCTTCAGAGCGGCTGTTGAAATATTGTTTATGAATAAGGGTCCATGGGGGCAAACAGCTCTAAGGAGGGCGTTATTTCTTTGTGGAAATGCCTATGTGTGTGTACCCGTATTCATCTTTGAAAAGAACCTAGCACAAATAAACTGTTGTGAAGGAAAAAATAAATGAGCTACACACAGAGAAAAAAAATGACCTGGAGCATTCAAAAAGAAACATGTATCATGGAGGGGGCAGGGCATGAAGAAGGCGGTGGAGTTCAGACTCTGTTGAACTGGGGAGAGAGTCCCTCCTACTGGGACCCGTGAGCCAAGCCTGTGACCACTACTATCCCACATTGTTATCGCCCCAGCTGGGAAGAAAGAAGCTGCAACATCAAGACGAGGGGACTCCACCAGCAGTATCTCCACCAAATACCCCGGAGAAGAATGTCCGCAGGTCCTTACCTAGAGTGAAGAGCACTCTGCCCTTCCAGCAAAATCCTTCACTTGTCAAGGGGCACGTAAGGATTTGTGTTAGCAAAGGGATGAATATGGAAGATGGAAAAGAAGGAGTCAAGGATAAGCCAGCATGTCTATCTTGGGTAACTAGGAGGAAAGCGTTGGAGGAAAGCGTTGGGTTTAACTAAGATGAAAAAGGTGGAGGAGGCGAAGGCCTAAGAAAGGTGTGGGCACACGGCAAGTTCGATTTTGCTAGCGCTGACTTGGATAGGTCTGTGGAGCTGCTCCGGGCTCTTTCAGTAGCTCCCTTATTCAGCTCATTCTCGGGTGTTCTGGCTCTGCTGCTTAACGGAGTTCCCTCACATTTTGCCTCTGGGAGCAGGCTGTGGCCTGCTCTCCATCTCTTACCCCTGGCTTGAGTCTGACACTACTTTAAAAAAATTGATTTATTTAATTTTATTTGTTTGTTATTATTTTTTAAATTTTTGCCACAGGGCATGTGCGCTCATGGGGGAGAGAGAGAGAGAGAGAGCGAGCAAGCAAATCATCAGGTCTGGGACTCAAACCATGGCTGGCCAAGTGGAAGTCCAGCACCTTAGCTGCCACACCACCTGCTGACCCCAAGTCTGATACTACGGTACAGCAGACCTGACATCCTGAACTCTCTCTTACTTCCCAAAGCCCTCACTAAGAAGAGAACTCCAGTTCTCCTTAGTCCCATACCCACAACAAAGGGCAATACCAAACCAATTCAATCCCCCTGTTTGGCTGTCTATCCCAGACGGAGGATGGCTTTGTGTCTAGAAGTTATCAAGACTGGTGTGTTTAATAGGTTGGTGACAAACACACATCTGGGTTCAGGGCAAATAAGATCAAGATCTGGGAAAATCAGAGGCTGGACAGTGGCCCAGTAGTAATATAATACTCTGTGAGGTGGATCCACATGGCAAGGTTCCTAGTTCATGTCCAGAGACCTCCCTGAGCGTGCCAGGTGTGTCCATGCCCATGAGCTGGGGCTGGCTGAAAGTGGGGATGGATTGTTCCATGAAGACCCTGCTGAGGCACCTGTCTCTTTGTGTCTCTCTTTCTCTTTCTCTCACTGTATATCTCTCACTCGAAATAAAGAAAGAAAGGAAAGAAGGGAGGAAGGGAGAAAAAAATAGATGAATGTGGGAAAATTATGATAGTTAAAGTTATGAGTTTTGCATGAAGTTGCTAAAGAGGACTTATAGTGAAACTCGGGGCGAGCAGGTGGCAAGGTGGTTAAGGTGCGAGAATTCCCACATGACTGACTACGGTTCAAGTCCCAGACCTAGCGACTTGCTTTCTCCCTCTCCTTCTCTATCGTTTTCTGACAAACTCATGTGAAAATAATAAATAAATAAATAAATAAATAAATAAATAAATAAATAAAATTATTCTTTAAAAAAATAAAAGGAGAGAGAGAAGAATAAGACTGAATCCTAGGGAACACAGTAATGGAGTAGGAAGGAGAAGAAGGGGGTTAGGAAAACAGACCTTCCATAGAGAGGCAAGAGAGGTTATTAGAGAAGTGGAGGGCAGAGAGATTAAGGAAGGCTGTGGGTGATGGACAGAGGCAAGAGCATTAGACAAGTGCAGCAGAATGAGAAGCGTCCTCAGTGGGCAGGGCAGTTGGGAAGTCACTCACAGTCTCTGCAAGGATAGCTCAGGGAGACAGAGGGATAAAATGCTGTAAATTGTTCTTTTAAGTAGTCTGTCAATGAAGACACAGACATTGGTCATTCACTCTTCTGCCTTCAAGCGCACATATGCACAGGCCAACCCAGTGAGGTAAGAGCCAATACTATTTCTGATTTCAGAGAAGTCGAATTAATAACCCTGGTTTGGCATCGTGTGTTCCACAGAAACTGCGGCGTGAAGAAAGTGCGTCATGGCCGACGTCTGGGAAACAGGGTGAGCTACAGCTTCCTCTTGGATTATCACACGTAAGGCCCTGACAAGTTCTGCAATACTTAGTAAGTTTGGTTCACCTCGGCGTGTCTCTAGATTTTATGACTGGTTAACCGATCATATAACACTGACGCTGCTGAGCGTAAAGTGTTAAAAATCAGTAGTGATCCCTGAAACATAATTCTGAAAGGACTTTTTAAAAAAGACTCCCATGCATATCTACTCTGGCTGGCATGTATGAGACTGGATATGTGCCCCTTAGTTTTTTTTTTTTCTTTTTTTTTGGAGAGGTTTTTGCTATAGGGCATGTGTGCTCGCCGGACAGACAGAGAGAGACAGAGAGACAGAAAGCGAGAAATCACCCCCCCAGGGGGAATGGCCACACCTCAATCCCTTCTCCTCCATTCTCCTCTTGAGATCTTGGGCACGCAAGCACACGCGCCCGGCGTGAGTTTAAGACACCGGGTGTGGGACTCGAACTGCTGTCCACTATGTGGGAGTCCAGCGACATAGCCATTATGCTAACTGCTGGTCCTGCCCCTTGTTTTTTGTTCAGAGGGGAAAATGCAAGACACGTGGCCACTCTCTACTATGAGGGTGCTTAACATACTTCAAATCCTTTGTCTTCTCTAGACTGATGGGTTTCAGCCTTAAAATGGCTTGGTATCTCCAGTTTGGGAATCTTCAACCATCATAGTAACTTTGATTTTCTAGAATTCTTTTAAAGAATTGTTTATTTCATTCTGCTTATCATTACTATTTTTTAATTTGACCAGAGACAGGGTGTGCAGACAGTGAAAAAGCAAGCAGTCAGGTCTGGGACTTGAACCACAATTGGCCATGTGAGAGTACAGTGCCTTAACCACCATGCCACTTGCTAGTCCCATAGCAACTTTTCTTTATGCTAAAGTCCTCCCATTGATCTTCACTTAAGTATCCTGGTCAGGTGACGTTGGGGGCTATGAGGCAGGGTGGGAAGGACACTTACCATCCAGCCAGAAGGGCAGGAGCACTCTCCAGTCACGTGATGGCACACGCCTCCATTCTGGCAAGGGCACCTCTGCTCACACTGTGGACCATGTTTGCCAGGAGGACACAGATCCTCACAGCTGAGGATTAACGCATGACAAAGGACACTGTTATTCACGCAAGCACAAACCCTCAGGTTCACAGACACAACTGCACCCATACAGACAAGCTTTCTCTGTTCCATAATTGTTCCTTTAATTAACATCAAGAGCATTCATCATCTTGGCTGGTAGTATCTTTGAGGGGTCACCCAGTTCTTCTCTTTGATTTGGGGTACTTCCTAATGAAGCCATTTCAGTGTGAAGAGAATTTGTCCTCTCTGAGAGGACCCAGGAAGAAAACGAGCCACACAAACGCTGGTGACAGGGACTTCCCATGTTGTACTTCTAAAGCTTTTCAAGCACTTCAGCTATAGTTTAAACCTACTTTCTTTTTTTTTTTTTTTTTGGAGAGATTTTCACTGTAGAGCGCGTGCGCTCGCCAGACAGACAGAGAGAGACATAGAGACAGAAAGCGAGAAATCACCCCCCAGGGGGGATGGTCACGCCACAATCCCTTCTCCTCCATTCTCCTCTCGGGATCTTGGGCACGCACGCACACGCGCTCGGCGTGAGTTTTAAGCCACCAGGTCCAGGACACGAACCGCGGTCAACTACGTGGGAGTCCAGTGACATAGCCATTACGCTAACTGCTGGTTCCCTAAACCTATTTTCTTTGTGTGTTTGTTCTAATTTCTAGAGATTGAGACATCTGCCCACCATTCCCTTTGGGCAAATATTCTTCATAATCAACTTGCAGCTTCTCTTCTCTAGACGGACAAGTCTCTATTGCTTTAACCCCGCCACGTCTCAGGTCATTTTTCTCTAAGCCTTTGTCTTTTTTGGACTCCTGTGAAATTGCTACAAGTCTCTCACAGCCCTAGCCAATGTGGCCTTGATGAGAACCCATAAAAGCAATACTAACACTTAAAAAGTGAGAGACAATTGTTCGGTCTTCTGAGATCAGGCCTTCCTAGGCAAATGCAGTTCTCCAGCGCGGCCTTACAGGCATTAACGCTGTCGGCTGGAGGTATTTACCTAGCAGCGTCATTTCTTTCTTTTTCAAGTTTTAGTTCTGTAATTTACAAGTGTCATTTTCTCCATCAGGGGAACAAGAGTTTTTGAACTCTTACTTTGTTTTGACACATTCTGCCTTTTGTTCTACTTGCTAATACAAACGAGCCAAACGATGCCTTTCCCAAACAGTAAAAAAAAAGTAGTGGAGGTTAAATAGTCACTCAGTGGTCTCTAGAAGGGGTAAACTGTGCATTCGTCCTACACAGACCTGATGCGTGTAATACCGTGCTCACAAAGCAACATACATGTCTGCGGGCACTAGCTAACCGGTTGCTTTCTCGTGGGTTGTTGGTACCATCTCCCTTCTCTCCTCTTTTCTTAGGCACTGTTCATTCCATTCTAATTGGCGAATTAATCGTCACAAAGAACAGAAAAACATGGACATTAACAACCAGCAGTGAAAACGAAATGTAACTTCAGGAGATTCAACGCAGAACCGCAAGTCTTTCCCGAATACTGCCATCCGACATAACGTCCTGGCCCTTTATATCGTGGCCCTGCTGGAAGGAAAGCATGGAAGCTGGCCCTTAGATTCCGACGGGGCTGTGATGCTCAGGGGCCCACAGCCAAGCACGGGTGGCCATCACTGCTGACCTCCATATCTATGCCTGGAGCCCGGATAGGTCTGCATCTCTCCAGGCAGTAACAGAAACAGGCGCAAGGAACACGGTGACAGTGCCAGCTGGAAGGACAAGGGAGGCAGGCTCGGCCACACAGCTCACCAGCATGTCACTTACAAGGCTCCAGTGTAGCCCGGTGGGCAGCGGCACTCCCCCGTGACGTGGTCGCATGTGGCCCCGTTCTGGCACTGGCATCTCTGGTGGCAGTCGTTGCCGTAGGTGCCCTGCTCGCAGCGGTCCTCGCAGCGCCAGCCCCGGAAGCCCGCCGCACAGTGGCAAGCCCCCGTGATGGGGTTGCACAGGGCTCCATTTTTGCACTGGCACCGGCTGCTGCAGTGGGGCCCCCAGTGATCGCCGTCGCAGGCTGCAGGAGGGGAGAGAAACGGTGGAGGGTATCAGAGGACCGGAGTGGGGAACGCCCAGTTCTTTAGATTCAGCTCTCCTCTCCCCATGGAGGAAATGACTTAATGGCCCCTCGCCACCATTCCGTAGCTGGGCATCAGGGCTTCGGCACCAACCCGTGGCCCTGTTTCACCAACTGGTGCTTAGCACCAACGGGCCACTTCCTACCCTCCGCTCCTTGAGTATCACTGCATTCTCCAGCTCTGCGCCTTCCCTCAGCCTGTTCCCTGTACCCAGAGTGTGGATGAAGCTAGAGAAAGAGGCTGGGAGAGGGAGAGGGTGTGAGGGGGCAGGGGGAGGACACTGGAGAGCCAGGTGACAGGTGGGAGTGACCAGCTCATACAGGGACTTTATGCCCATTAAGGGGCATAAAGACATCTATGGACAAGGAGTTGGTGGTGGAGGAGTTATAAGCAAGAGAAAGCAGGGCAGATTTGTCTCCTTCTAAGAAGAGGAAGAGGAGGGAGCTGACCATGAAAGCCAGAGGGACTGGTGACAGTTCAGCTGAGTGCAGGGGGCCTGGATCCTGGAAGTGAAGGGAAGCAGGAGAAAGGAGAAGGGCCCAGGGGCAGAGCCAGCAGGAAGTAAACTGACTGTGTTACTGGTCTGGCCCAGCATCATCTCGAAGGTTCACTCAAAATATGTGTGCATGGGAGGTAAGCCCAATTACCACCCAAAGAAAGGGCAGGGAAAGGACTAATATGTTTAAATACAGAAAGAAGGGAAACCTGAAACAGAAAATAACAGGATAACAGACCCAGGAAACCAGGTAAGACAAAGGCAGAATCTGGCATTTGAAAGACATACTTACAGGGTATCTTTGGGATGGGATCCCAAAACCTTGCCGTTGCAAAGAAAAAGAGTGACTGAAAAGTCAACGAGTGGAAAAGAAAGAGCAGGGAAGGAAAAAACCTGCAATCCCAAACATTCGAAGAAACTATAAAGGGTGACAATAAACAGAACTAATTCTTAATATGCATTGCCCAGCCAGCAATGTATTTATTTATTAATTAGATGTTATAAAAATCACTAGGGGAGATGCCCCCTGCCTAGAGCTCTTAGGATCAATTGCTTTTATGATTTAAAAAGTTTTATTTCATAAAAAGTTTGTCACTTCAGTAGATCTGGAATAAACTATGGGGTTGGGGGGACCCTCATTGGAAGTGCAGGATCACCTTCCAATATTACACTCTATCTTTGATTTCATAATATCAAAAGATCTAAATGAATAATTCTGTGTTTAATCAGTATAGCTTTGGTCTCATTAGTACTTTAATAAACATACTTTAACACAATTAAAAACAATGAGAGAGAATTACTGAACCTAAAGCAGATCAAGAAAGCAATTACCTAAGAACTCGCAATCTCTTTCACAAAATAAGATTAGGTGGTAGTTCCAAAATGAGATTTAAACCTAATTGTTATTCATATGAGTTGTTTCTTTTATTGCCTATGGATATGAACAATGAATCTTTTTTTCAATTCTAACTCTTTTCATCCAAGATTTTAAAAGAATTCTTGAAAAGACAATTCCATGACTTCTTCCTTTAGATTCTCACTGTTATCCAGGGCAGGGAATCTGCCCTGTTTTTACGGTCCTTCAGGGTAAATTACATAGTCCTTTGTAACTTGTTCCTTGATTCGTTAATCCTTGAGAATAAGAGAAATATTCATTCCTCATAAGCCAAGTCAAATATCCTACCAGGTTTGTTTTTTTTTAATTTTATTTTATCCTACTGATTTTTAAAATTTTTTTCTCCCATGTAAGAAAGAGAGAAAAGAATCCTCAACTTGTTCCTCACAATGCGATCCACGAAGGCTTAGCAGGCCCAGATCACAGACATGTGTGTGCCTGGCATGTCCAGGGAGGTCCCAGAACTGGATCCCAAGACTGTCCCGTGTGGGTCCAGCTGGCCCACGGTACCCTGTCTCTTAGTCTTTTGCTCTTTTGTATCCCTCACAGCGTGGACACCCAGGCCATCGCTGTCCCCACTGTAGTGCATGATCTCACTCCTGAAACGTGAAGGCATCCTTGGCCCTGTTCTTTCCTAGACTAAGTACAAGAACTCCAACACCTGCATGTCAAAGTTGGTTCCGTTTCATTCATCTTCTTTGCTGAACCCTCATCAAAGTTTCCACAGCTCTCTCTCTCTCTCAACCTGAGTTTCAGATACTGAATGAAGTATCTGTTGTTTATGTTTAATGGGGGATTAGTTGATCGACTCAAATGGCAATTTCCACCAATAAAATTACCTTGATAAAGACATCAAGATCATGACAAAGCACTTTAAGGCCCAACCACAGTAGTACATGTGCTGGACATTACTTCTTAGAAGCTGAGGCCAGGTTAGAGGCCTGCGTTCAATTCCCTGGCTCAGCCTCAAAAGCTAGCATGGTGGTGCATGCCTGTGGTCCCAGCTGCTGAGGAGGCAGAGTGAGACATTGCCTTAAAAAAGGAAAAGACACCACACATATGTGCCTGTTCTCTCTCTCTCACACACATACACACACCACACACACACATATGATAAGCATTTAAAAAATACTGATAGTGAGGCCAGCAGGTGGCATAGTGGATAAGGCAGCTGGACTCCCACATGGCCAATTACAGTTCAAGTCCTGGACCGAATGGTTTGAAAATCACGCTGGGCATGTGTGCATATGTGCCCAAAATCCCAGGGGGAATGGAGGAGAAGAGATTGCAACATAGCCATCTCCCCGGGGGGTACTTTTTCACTTTCTCTCTCTCTGTTTTTCTCTCCAACAAGCACATGAGCCCTATGGTAAAACCCTAAAAAAAAAAAAAATAGTGATGGGTCATTGTGGAGTTTTCTATTGCACTGTGATAAGAGTGGTCCCCAAGCACATAGATCTTACAGAATATGTTATGGCAACAGAATGGCAGGGAGAAGTGGAGGGGGGGAGGGGGCAGAATGGCAGGAAGAAGTGGAGGTGTGAAGGGGACAGGCTAGCCTCTCTTCCCTTCACAACCATCTTCCACATCCTACGTAATAACTCTCCCTGCAGAGCAGAGACCAGCTCTGTTTTCTTGGAACTAGACCAAAAAACGAAAGAAGGAAAGAAAAAGTTAAGCTATCTCCTTATGGTAGAAAGAAGTTGATAGCAGAAATAGATAATTATCAGCAGAGAAAAAAGGGTTTCAGGAAAATTATCATGCCGACATGGTTCATTTCCTGGCTATATGTAAGCACTGTGGCATGCTTTGAAGTGACAACTTCTGTCTTTGGGCTGCATTTCCCTAAAAGGCCACTGAGATATGGACCTCACTATATGCATGCTGTGCGTCAGCATAGGCTGTTCTGGAGAAACACCATCACCTACAAAAGTTTACAGACAAATAGGAAGTAGAATAAGGGGGACACAGAGGCCTGGGTTGAATTCAGGCATCACTGTGGCTTCCTTTCCTCTCCTCATTAGTCACATTGACTACTTCGATACAGCAATTTTAATTTTTAAAATGTATTTCATTTTCTTTCTTTCTTTTTATATTTCATTATTGTACATCTTTACAGCACACAAAATGACCTTCCAGGCACGAGGATACCTCATGCTAGTCCAGTCAAAGACTTTACCATACACATTATCGTCAATAAATAAGTTTCCATTTGTGTGTCCATTAAATGTTTTACTTCCCCCCCCCCCTTGATTCCCTCCCTCCTGGCCCCCATTACCCACCCTCTCCCCACACTGTCTCTAGTTTCCTCATCCGCTCTCCCTGCTTTTAATGCCTTCTGATCTTTCAGTTTCTGCTATAAAGTGCAGACATCTGGTGTACCCAGAGGGGGGACATCAATACACCCACTTTTAAATGTATCCCCGTTAACAGCACGAAAGCCAGCTTTCTTCCCCCACCACTACGACCACGGCGGTGTGTTGACTTTGTCTCAACAAGAGGCAGAATTGCTCCTTATGTTTCCTACAGAACTTCGCCAATTACCCTCCATCCAAGTCCTGTGTTTGGAGAGTCTCAACTCGAGCCATCTCACGTCCTTTCCTTGTGGCCACACTCTGATCTCAAGGGGCAAGGCTTTCACTCCACAAGAGAAGGTGACTGACAGAAAGAGACGCTGGTGACTCCTACTGACCACTTAGAAACAATGTAGGCAACATGGAAATAGCTTTAATATTCTAAGAGGGAGAAATAAAGATAAAAGGGCAAAACTTCGTTTCAGATTGGATTGAAAGGCACCTCAGTGCTAACGAGGGAGTGGTGACATTTTCAGCTTCTGGTTTCAGCTCTCCTTGCGCTAACAGCTGGAAGTAGGCTCTCAAACGCAATGTGTCCAGATTCATGCAGATGTTTCAAGAGACAGCTTAATGAGGGTTTCAGACAGGCACAGACAGCTTATAAGCTCTCATAATGAGTTAGAAATAAAAGGAATTTTAAACTACTATGTAGTGTCAGAAGTGTATAATCTATGCTCCAGTTCTCGGTGAAAACTTGTACAGCACTGGACCCTCCCAAGACAGTGGACACACGCTGGGTCCCTCCGGGCTCTAACTGCCACTGACCGGTAGCCACAGGTTACATTCACGGCTAGGGCACTATAACTCATTCAGCTGAGATTTAAGTACCTGCCATCTGTAAGTAATACAGTCAGGGTCTATGTAGACGAGGTACTGTGTAAAACACACAACCCATACTTAACCCCTATCTGCATTGTCAGGAAAGCCTTCGTCCAAACAATGACTAAGCAGAGTGTGCCATGTCTAGTAAAGGACAGAGAATTGGTTTTTGTTTGTTTGTTTTAGGTTTTTGCCATAGGGTGTGGATGCTCACTGGAGCGAGATGGATGGCCAGTCCGAGACTTGACCCATGGTGGGCCATATGAGAATCTAGCACCTTAAGTATCACACTGGCTGCTGACCCCAAGGGTAGAGACTTTTTAACTAGGAGGCCACCAGGGAAGGAGTAGAGTCTACAGGAGGCATTATCTTCAG